GGGAAAGATAGATCCAACTCTCTTCATCAAAAGACACAAGGGTGACATCATGCTGATACAAATTTATGTGGACGACATCATTTTTGCCTCGTCGAATCCAAATTTCTGTAGAAAGTTCAGCAATCTGATGCGCACCAAGTTCGAGATGAGTATGATGGGAGAGTTGAACTTCTTTCTAGGGCTTCAGATCAAGCAATTGCCAGACGGAATATTCATAAATCAGTCCAAGTACATCCACGATATGCTAAAGCGCTTCAAAATGGACAGCAAGTCGACGATGAAAACCCCCATGTCTCCCTCACAGAAGCTCGACTCTGACCCTTCCGGGAAATCAGTCGATGCTACCAATTATCGGGCTATCATCGGTTCCTTGCTGTACCTAACATCTAGCCGACCAGACATTGTCTTTGCAACTTGCCTATGCGCCCGCTTTCAGGCAAATCCGAAGGAATCACATCTGAATGCTGTTAGAAGAATACTGAGATATCTCAAAGGAACAGTCAATCTGGGTCTTTGGTATCCTAAGGAATCAGGCTTTGACCTTGTTGGATACTCAGATGCTGATTTCGCGGGTTGCAAACTGGACAGAAAGAGTACATCTGGCGGCGCTCAATTTCTTGGCGATAAGTTGGTGTGTTGGTCCTCCAAAAAGCAGAATTGTGTGTCCACTTCTACAGCTGAGGCAGAATATGTCACGGCTGCTAGCTGTTGCTCACAGATATTATGGATGAGGACCCAACTGAAAGACTACGGGTTCACATTCTCACACATCCCGATCTACAGCGACTCTCAAAGTGCAATTGCCATCACGTGCAATCCGGTCCATCATTCAAGGACGAAGCATATTGACCTCAGATATCATTTCATCAAGGATCACGTTGAGAAAGGCACCGTGGACATGTACTTTGTGTCTACGGAATTGCAACTGGCTGATATTTTCACAAAGGCCCTGGATGAAAAGAGATTCAATTTCCTGATCTCTAAGCTGGGAATGTTGAACTTGAACGACTGAGTAACATCTGAACTGTGTGTGTGCGTGTGCTTTCATAATTTTCATTCATTCTAAAACATTTTTCAAAATTTGCATCTTTATTTTCATGCATGCATCTCATATTTTTTTTATTATTCTGTTAGCATCATTTAAATCAATGCATAAATTGAGGGGGAGCTTTTTACAAATCTGTTCATAAATTGAGGGGGAGCTTTTCTAAATTGTGCATAATTTGAGGGGGAGTTTGATAAAATTTTCATTGTTAAAGAAAAGCAAGTGTTGAGGGGGAGCAATTTTTTCAATTTTTGAAACTAAAATCAGACTGGTTTGGGCCCGTTGAGTTCAAAATTCCCCCCGGGCCTATTTAAACTCTTAAAACGCGCAACCCTCCCCCATTCACTTCCTCTTGCGCGAAACTCTCCACCTCCCAGAACTCAAAACCTTCTCTCGATCTCCCAACCTCTTCGAAAAACATTCAAGGTAAAATCTCCATCTCTTCTTGTTATCATTATTGTTTCACAGGTATTCATGGAAGACGACGAACAGGTATCCAAAGGTGCACGAAACTCCTCATAAGCGATTAAGGGGGCTGCGCGATTTAACAGATGCGCAAAACCTCCCTTTTTGCGCGATTGCGAGATCTGCGCGATCTCGTGTGCGCGATTCCCTACTTGCCCGAAGACTAGGGCTGCGCTAACCACACCCCTTGCGCGTTTTCTACTGATTGCGCGATATGTGTGTTGCGCGATCCAAGCCCCTGCGTGATTTGGGTGGGCGGTGCGAAATAATAGGCGTGTGCGATTTTTTTTTCTCGTTGCGCGATCTAGGGGAGGTGCGCGATCCCCACTGATGCGCGATTCCTCTTGCGCGATCGGCCTGGGTTGCGCGATCTGTGAACCTTGCGCGATATACATTGCATTGCGCGATCTGCTACTCCTTGCGCGATAAAGGGGGCCTGCGCGATTACCCTTGCCCATTTCTTTTGGGCTGCGCGAAATTAACCAAACCCAGCCCAAACCTCACCCATAGTGGAAATTCATTATGTGGGCCAAAATAAACCAAGTACAGGCCCAACTTCGACCAAGACCAATAACCATTCTTAAATTGGGCCCCACTTTCAAAAAAAAACAAAAACAATAAAGGGCCCAAGTGAGGAATAAATTGTGGACTTAGCCATTTTTGATCATATGCTCTAATCTCTTTATCATTTTCAGACTGAAATGGCTGCCAACACTCCAATCAACATGATCTATGCTAGGGAACACTGGATCCCGATCAAGGAGAACAACTCACAACTGGACCCAGAAGTCTTCTCCTGTCAAGATGACGTGGTCGTCTCCATTCTGAAAGGCCACAAGCTGTGGAAAGCCCTGAGCAAGAACGCTGAAGTCCCTCAAGTGTATCTCCAACAATTCTGGGGAACACTCGACAAGGACGTAGACGAGGCTGGTAGACAAATTGATGACGTGCTAACTGCCACAATGTGCAATACCCGAGTCACAATCACGAAGGAGCTCGTCCAACAAGTGCTACAGATCCCGGAGGAGGAACATTATGACGCGTTGGTCCCAGAGGCACAAGTAATCGCTGACATGATCACTCTTGGCCACGCACAGCCTCTCCACGTGATGTCAGAAATCAAGACGGCTCGCTTGCCGCGCCCATGGAGGACACTAATGGCTACTCTGAATAAATGCTGCACTTCCAAACACACTGGATTCGACAAGTGCAGTGCTTACCTTGTATACATCTTCCATGGGATCGCCTTCATGAAGAAATATGACTATGCTGCTCTAATATGGAGTGAGTTCTTGGAGATGAGGAGAAGAAAATTCGACACCAATCTGATCAAACATCTACCATACATGAGATGGTTCTCCCTGCTGGTGCGACACTTCTGCAGAACAATTCCTACTATTCAAAGACGCAAATCATCTGAGAATGTCAGCACTCCAGCCCTCCAATACTTGAAGAGAATGCCAGAGGTACGCTCACTGGTACCATTACCTATTCATGTTCCTCTCCTCCTGTTAGCTGGGCGAAATGATCCACATGTCATACGCTACAGTGAGGAGAATGGTGCCATACTCCCTATGGCTCAGATAAACCCCCCTGAGCCTACCCCGGGGAGTCAGCCGAGAGTAAGTGAGTGTCCTGAGAGTTCAACCCAGCCACAGAGACCAGTGGCAAGCCGGCCCCATGATGATCAGACTATTTCTGCTGAGGGCCACACCCGTGCTGAGGAGATTTCCCATGATTCGCCAAGCGTAGCCAGAACAATAAACGCTGACGATGAGGGCTCCGGTAGCAAGGCTAACAAGCGCAACAAGTCAACAAGGATGATGAGATTAATGATGATGCAGATGACAACGCTAATCAAGCCAGGGAGCCTCCGGTACAAAAACGCCGACTCATTATCAGGCTCCCCACGGAAACAGAAATAGAGGCGTCTTACTCACGAACAAACAAAGAAGGAAATATCATAAGTGAGACGCGCTCCAAGCATCAAAATGACATACTTCCTCATCATTCACTCCTACACAGAGAATACAAACCGCAAGTAGCCTGACAAAAGAAATTGCCCTGTTTGACGAGTGTACAAACCTAGATGTAGTAAACCGGACTGACCCCATAGGAGCAGAAGCTGACTTTCTCAGCTTCCGAGTAGAAGACGCAGCATCTTGTCCAACTGCGCATGCACAAGCCACACCTAGCCACTCTGCTGCCTCCCAACAGGTAGTAGTTTCACATATAGGGGATATTATACCCACCTCGCTGTCTCCCTACGAAGCAGCTGAGGATTTACTTTGTGGTCTTCCGCCCCAGACCACTACCCCTCCTTCTAGCACATTGAGTCTAGTTTCCACCATCCCAACATTTTCAACATTTTCTAGGACACATACACTGCTCACACCACTGCACACGACAGGTGCACTTTACTTGTCCTCAACGATCGGAGATACGTCGATGATGATCGGAAGTCCTGCTGCTCAACAGATATCTCCATCATTATCTGCAGGCCACACATCGGTAATCTTTACTGATGCTGTGACAACGGTTACTACCCCTGTAACCGGACACCCTGACCCTACCGACCTTTCTGTCATTTTGCAGCGTTTCTTGGATTCCACCATTAAACCATGGGTGCACGAAGCAATAACCGCTCGGGCACAGGAATTCAGGAACACCCCGGCGCTGCTTAATGACATCATCCAACCCCTACCATCATCCTCACATACCCAACAAACCCAACCACTTCCTATCATACCTACCCAACAAACCTCTGAACCATCCACAACCCTACCCCACTCACCTACTGCTTCAAGGGGAACCCAGGATACAGAACTAGTGTCCTCCCCTACTTCGACCACACCTTTTCCTGACCCTAAAACTTTACCGTTCGAGGTACTCGAGAACCTAATGCTAGATCAACTACTAACTACCGAAGAAGGCAACCTAACCCAGAAACAAAAAGACCTTCTTCGGATCCTTAAGCCTGACAGCTCATGCCGTGATAGTTTCCTTGGTCACAAACGTTCGCATGAGGACCCCGATGACTCGGATCCTCATGAGGGGGAGAACAAGAGGCAAAGGATACTTGAGCGTGATGCGTCAACAAGCCAACCTTCTACGCAATCCAACCAACCTGAATCCTCGAACAATCAGCCCCCATCATCCACTCAACATAAAAGCCAAACAGCCAACTCACCCACATCTAGCCCGGTCGAGCTAGAAACAACACTCCTAGGCTCATCTTTCATAGATGTAGACCAAGGATGGAGTGGAAGTCCTGAGGTTGCTACTTCGAGTACACCTTTCTATTCAGGCCATCAGAAAGAACCTAGTTCTAATCTGATGATAACGGGTAATCCAAGTGATCCCGGTGTTACTATTGACAGAGCGCCACAACAGCAGCAAGCTCCCTCTAGCCAACCTGATGATCGAATGCATGACGAACTTGAAGAAATTCTTGTTCACAACAAGTGGTCTCGGCTATGGGCGAATGTGGATGAAATACAACAAAGAGCCTATCTCAGAGAGCTCCTAGCTAAATGTGCTGCTGATGTAATACTGCTTAATGATGATGAACTTAAGGAAGGAGAAAACTATCAGGAACCTCCCAAGGAGCTGGAATCCATCATCAGACAAACAGCGGCTCGAATGCCCAGGAGTGAAAAGCCTTGGGAGAATATTAACATCAATGCTCCTTTCCAAGAGGAAATCAGAAAGCGTATATGGCGGAAAGATGACGAAGTCAAGGAATTGGACGAATTGAAAATCTGTGGACTCAATCATCTGAAAGGAAAGAACAAGAGTGGTCAATTGTTTCTGCTTAGTCATCATTACATGGGGAAACAGAGAGAAGTATGGCAACATGAACTGCAAACCGCAAAAGACCCAGTATGGAGTATACTAAATGTAGCCGAAATAAATTATCAAGACATCCCACTCTCTGTTTACCGCCTGCAACGCTCCGACGGGACGGAATTTACCTGCAAGGAAAATGACCTTTATATGTTAAAGATGGATGACATCTATCATATGTATCTAGCCTTCCAGGAAATTCCAGTCACCTGGGACAAATCTACACAAGAGGGATTCAAGGCACTCAAGCGCTTCATGATCAGACAAGCCAAATTCTTTGCTTCCCATGATCTTCAGATGGCCCTAGAAACAAATCTGCCAAAGACAAACCTCTCAAGACCAAAGCTTTACGGGCCAGAACTTGAGAACCATCCTGCCTATTACATCTTCGATCGCCCGTTAGCTATCATCTATCTGAACCACAAAGGTGAGAGGCGTTTGTTGTTGGCAGAAGAAATCAACAAGTACTGTGATGGAACGCTGAAGATCATTGAAGAAAAACTGCAACCTATCAGAAAAGAATTTGAAGAAAAACAACAGAAGTATGCAGATGCCACAGACGATGAACTAACAGAGGCAACCAGAATTGATAAAATCTTGAAAGCCATCGAGAAACAACTTGACAGAAGAAGGTCTCTCATAAATTACGAGCATGCACTCAATCTCAGAAAGCATTATTTTAAAGCTCAGAAGTGAAGAAAAGAAGAAGCAAGAACATCTGATCACAAAGGGGGAGATTGTTAGAGATATTTTCATTATATTGTGATCAATGTTTCTTAGCTCTTTATTTTTAGCATCTTAATTAAATAGATTAGCTAGAATAATGAATAGGCCTTTTAAGGCAATTTGTAATAAAAGGTTTTATACCTTTTTAGGTATGGGCCTCCTAGAAAAAGGAGCCCAAATGATTGTAAAACCTACCTTTCCCGTCAGGCTATATATATGCCTTAAGGGAAAGGCTAGGTTAAGCTTTTCGATACATTCCTAGTGCCGCAGTGCCTATTCGCGTGTAAGGTTTTTACGCTAACATTCATATCATTCTGTAAAACCTTCACCATCAATGGAAAGCTTCATTCCCAGATCTATCTTCCATACATACATTTTATAGACTAGAAAACAAGGACCTAACAAATACCAAGTGAAACGTAAAGGGAAAAATTCAGGAATTTTTGTTGAATTGTATAAAACAAAACCGTTTTCCCTGGCAACGGCGCCAAAAACTTGATCGGCTATAACTTGCAAGTGTACAAGTGCCAATGTAGTAATAAAATCCGGTAAAAATACCGAGTCAAACACGAGGAAACGTTGTTTATATGATTCAAAAGTTGAGAATAGAATTTGTAAGACTTAGGAAACAAGTATAGATTTTTGGTTTTCAAGTGATAATAAAAGTAACCAAGGGTTCGGGATTACTCCTAAACGACTCCTAGCGATTGATGTATATTCTTTCTCCAATTCTTATGAGTGGAATCTCGCTAAAGTATTCTAACTCCTGTTACGGCAACAAGATTGTGATTAATTCTACGTGTGAATCCCGTCACGGTTCACATTCATCTAAAATTAACCCCATTGAAGATTAGGACATTATTAAAACCACCATGTTCAATTGAGGTATATTTCTATCCACAATTAGAATATGTCTAACCTTTAAGTGTACGGTTTATAACTCAACGTTAATTGCTCAAACAAACCCAACGATATAATCATACGTTGTACACCGTAGTCATACACATTAAAATATAAAGTAAAGATCATAATAATTTGGTTGAGAACATACATCAAACACCTAGAGTGCGTAAAGTTTCATCCCTAACCTTGGCTATGGAAAATTAGCTAGAACAATTCATAATGAAATTACAAGTACTGAAATGATGAAATACAATGATATACATAAGAAAGTAGTACCACAACTCCAAAGCTATGGTGGACAATGGAATCCCCAAGTGTAGAACTTCTCCCAAGACCAAGGGGTTGATCTTGGAATGCTAAAAATGGAAGTAAAGTGATTAGAATATGGAATAATGTATTGAGAGGGCATCAAGACACTTAAATATTGGGTCTTCAACGACCATTTTTAGACAAGGAAGCAAGCTCCTTATTGGGGTTTGGAGTTTTTCTCGAATGATTGTGATGACCGTTGCTCTTTTAATCAGTTCCAGATGAAAGCCGTGCCCGTCTTTCGCAAAAGCCGTGCTCCTTATTGGGTGGCTTTTGCACGTTTAATTTGTTGATTCCTCGCTCCAGGGTCTGAAAGCCGGCCGCTCTTCACCAAAAGCCGGGCGGCTTTTGGTTTATTTATCTGAATTAATCCTGTGGCGACGAAAGTCTGCCACCCTTCACGAAAGCCGGGCGGCTTTCGTTCTTTCTTTCTCCGGACGCCTTTTCTTCTCTTTGGACGTGGAAAATGGGCTTGGGGGCAAAAGTCGGCCGGCTTTTACAATAGCCTGGTGCCTTTCGCTTGCCTTGTGCATTTTTGTAGACTTTGTTTGCTTCTTGGGATGCGTTTGGTTGACCTTTTTCCGTCGGTTTCTTTGTGTGTATTCTATCATCCTTGTATTTGATCCAATCATCGATTTGAAGTACTTCTAGCAAAACGAGGCTTGTGTGTGAAGATTTAATTGTTTTAAGTATAAAAGCGTTTATAAACGATTGTATAAAACACGTTAATAAAACGCTTATCAGCCTTGCAGCACAGGTCGGGCTATTTAGGGGAGGTTCGGTACGGTATACCGAATATTTTATCGCACAGTTTTACCATACCGTAAACGTTCGGTATGCAAAAATGCATATCGTTACCATACCAAAATTTCGGTATACCTTGTTTCAGTATACCGAAATTTCAGTACAGTAAGGTATGGTATCGGTAAATTACCATGATTTAATAATAATCCAACCTTTTAGCGGTCTTCTTACAATAGTGCCACATTTTCGTTATTCATGAATAATCCAACATTTGCACCCCATCTTCATTCACTAGTCCCTGATCGGTTGATGACCTGCAATTCCAAATTATTTGTCTTATCTTTGCAAACCATTATACCATAAATCTCACCTTTCACAAAGATAATATTTTGCAAAGATAAGAAAATAACTTGGAATAGCAGGCCATTAACTGGTCAGGGACTAGCGAATAAAGATGGGGTGCAAAGGTTGGATTATTCTTGAATAACGAAAATGTGGGACTATTGTAAGAAGACCGTTAAAATGTTGGATTATTAGTTTCCATTGTCCCTAACAAATTATTATATGTCAAATGAAATAAAGAAAATCAGTGTTAATAGTGATATACTAAAATCATTAATGAAATTAATTATAAAATACCAATGACATAACCTATTTATGTTCTATTCAACTTTTGACAAAAAAATATTATAAATATGTATATATATTTCAACACATGATATATGAAGATAACAACACATTCTGCTAAAATAATTTAAACAACATAAATATAATTAAAATACCACCGATCTCAAACAAAAATTATAAATAATTCAAGAAACATGGATATAAAGTCATTTATCCTTGAATTAGTGTTGTGTTTCTAGTTATTTTTACATTTTAAAGGAAATTATTGACTTGGAATTACGGTATGACGGTATACCGGTATACCGTTTATTTCCAAAATATATACCGATACCATACCGAAGTAATTTGGTACAGTATCATACCGTACCAAAAGTGTCGGTATACCAACATTTCGGTAAATTCGACATTTTTCGATATATATGGTAAGTCCGGTATACCGAAATTTTGGTATTTTCCCCACCCCTAGGGCTATTGTTCTCCTAGCCCATAGATCGATCTTTGAAAGGTTGCGGCTGTGGTCCTAGACCAGAGATCTATGGCTGGCAGCGGCGCTGGACGGTAGCTGGCGGCCGACGGCTAGACGGCAAGCGGAGACTCGATGAGGGTGGCTGCGTGGGTGGGCACCGGGGGTTATACCCGAGCGGCTGTAGCTAGGGTTGGAGAAAATGTGTAGAAGATTGAGGTTTTATAGATATAACCAAAAGGGTATATTTGTCCACACAAAAATATCTATTATTTAATTATTTCAAATTTTGATTAAATATTTTGTTTTTTAATATTATTTTTAAGAAAAAACTAGTTAGGTCATTGATTGGGAAACTCATTGAGTTTTAGTCACACATAGGATACTTATCTCTATTTTGAGCAACCTTTAGGATTTGTTGTTCAAGGGGAGTATATGAAAGTATTTTTGTTTCACACTCCTCTTTATGGTTTGAAATTAAGTTTGTGTGCATGATTTGGGAAGTTGAGTGAATCAATTGAGCAATTTGAAATGTTAAGACTTACATTCATAGCGAATGATGGATAATTGATAACCATGTCTTGGTATTTAGGAGAGATTGACACAAGAGAGTTGAAGATAATGTATTGTATTGAATGTGTGAATACTTAAACAATGTGTGCATATTGATTGTGTGAACATTGATTACGTTTTACAATGCCTCCAATAAAGAGTATATATAGAGAAACAGTGGGTCGGCCTGCTAATACGAGTCCGATGGGCTCAACTACGTAAAATGCTAGTATAATAGATACAAATGAGTGTGTCAATTGTACAATAATATAAATGTTATCTGCTGAGTGTACATGAGCCACTATCTAGACCCAATAGTCCGCAGGCCGGGGGATCAGAGTCCATGCACTCTATCACAACCAATTAAGGTGAAAGATCTTGGCTCATTGAACCATTTCCTCGGTATTGAGGTAACACATAATAAGAAAGACATGTTTATGTGTCAACATAAATATGTACGTGACTTGCTAGCTGAAACATGGGAATTGGGGGTAAAATCAAGCAATACTCACATGGTTCCCAATGTGCAACTCACTCACGAAGGCATTTAATTCAAAGATCTAGAAAGACATTGAAGATTGGCTAGAAAGCTAATTGTCTCACAGTTACCCATTGAGATATTGCTTACTCGACTCAGTGAGTCAATACATGTCATCTCTGACAATTGATCATTGAACTGTTGTAAAACAAATATATTGTTATTTGGAGGGAACATCGAGACGATGTGTTATTTATCAAAGCCATTAGCCATGATCGCTTGAAAATAATATCTTTCACAAATCCGATTGGGTCGAATGATAGGATCCAAATACCTTGAGATATTATTATTTTACAAAATCTTATATAAAAATATCAAATCTTCGCATAATATATTTATAGGAACTTGACTCTCCAATGGTATACATGGAAAATACTATTTTATTCTATCACATATTCTCAGTTTCAACACATACATGACTTACACCAAGCATTTTTGTACAAAAAATGCACACACTTCATTATAAATATGCCAATGTGTTCCTTATGTAGGAGAGTATCATGCAAACGAAATGCGAACCCCACTGTGTTCATTACTCTTTCTTACTTTTGAAAGATAAAATCGTAAAGCAATCATTTTATTTTTATAGTATTATATTATGGGATAGAGATACCCGCAATTAAAATTATTTGTTGAAACTATAGAATTAAAAAACTTTCTAAAATTAATATGGTGTATGAATAATTTTTCATTTTTTTTAAAATTTTATTTTATTTTCATTATGTACAAGATATGGAAACAACATTAAAATCAAATTTATTTTAAGAACTTATAAGTAAACATATTTC